CAGCAAATAATCACAGTCATTAATTTCACCACCAATCTCATCAGAAAAATCTCTAAGTATTGGGAAGCTATCAAGCTCACGATGGGAGATACAAGTTTTCCAACACTCTAATTTTTACTTTAAAGTCGAAATTTATCTACTGTCAAATTTTTTCCCTTGAAGTGACAGGTTCACTTTGTTCATTTTTTATAAAATGTCTCCCAAATACTGAAGTCTGATTAACTATAGTTCTGTCTGTCAATCTTTCTTTCACAAAGAAATGGTGTTCCCAAGTCAAACAATTGTGCAAGGGCTTTTTTTCAAGTCAACCGTCACACTTTGCTATGCAGTAGAAGTACTTTATGCCTAATTCCTATTTCATCACACAGAATATTAAAAAGACCTGAACTCAAGGTTCAAGGTTTACTGAAATAAATTTTTAGTGCTTCATGCAGGACAGTCCTAAGTGAAACTACCCTTTTTTCCTGCAAGCACATGATGGTGAAGAATACAATGACTACTTTTACAGTTTGGCACCACTGCCTTAATTCACACTAAGGCACCAGCCATGCAAATGTCAACACAGTGAAAAGGGTAAATAACACCTAAGTATTATTACAAGAATAGCTTTGACTTCATGGATTTCATGGAAAGGATCTTGGGAATCCTCAGGGGCCTGCAGACAATCCTTATTTATTTCCAAATGGCCTTCCTAAATTACAGGAAAAAAGGGAGGAAAAAAAAAAAGACCCTTTGGATTTTGTTACCACTGATTTTCATCTTGAATTCGGCAATTAAAGGCAGAGTTGTAAAGTTGAGGGCACTGGCTTGAGCCAATTAAAGTACACATGGGCTTCTGCTTCTCAGTATATTTTTATCATCTTCTAAAACTACCTCAGCAGCAGATTTGTAACTGTGTCAGCTCTCAGGAGGTTTTATGCTAGATCTGTATGCAAGTGAAATCAAACTCGTTTCACTCAAAAAAACAAAAACAAAAAAACCTAAGTCACAGAGTTAATATAAAAGCAACTACACTTCCTGATGTTTCCAGTGGGACAAACTCATTCTTATACGTTCTGACTGTAATAGCTTTAAATAAAAAGCAGTAGGGCTTCCCTGGTGGCGCAGTGGTTGAGAATCTGCCTGCCAAGGCAGGGGACACGGGTTCGAGCCCTGGTCTGGGAAGATCCCACATGTCGCGGAGCAACTGGGCCCATGCGTCACAACTACTGAGCCTGCGCGTCTGGAGCCTGTGCTCCGCAACAAGAGAGGCCGCAAGAGTAAGAGGCCCGCGCACCGTGGTGAAGAGTGGCCCCCGCTTGCCACAACTAGAGAAAGCCCTCGCACAGAAACGAAGACCCAACACAGCCATAAATAAATAAATAAATAAATAAATAAATTTAAATCATGTGGGCTTCTAAGAAGACCTCTGCTTAAAAAAAAAAAAAAAAAAAAAGCAGTAAAAGCCATAGAGTAAGAGTCTAAAATGAGCAAAGCAGAAGAGACTACCCTTACCTAACATCTTTCCCCACAGTCATAGCAGCAATCACTTTCTTCACAGCCTCCTTCCTCTTTTCTTTCTTTTCATTGTTGAGTTCAGCCTTTAATTCAAAGATTTCTCCTAAAAGACAACAAACGGGTGAGGTCCCAGGATCAGAGAACTAGAGCAGAACACTGTACTATATAGCAAGTAACACAACAGATGACTGGTGGCAGGGCTGCAACTGAAAGAAGATTATTTAAAAATTATAGGATAGGTACAGTTCAAATCCCTAGAATATTAACCAACCCATTGATAAGGATGCTATTTTGGGGTTATCGCCAGAGAGGAAGGTGTAAGCCAGATCTCAGGAAGCACAGAAGTGGGAAAAAGGAAAGATATCTCATGATATCTTACTACGATGGGGAAAGAACGGCATCGGAGGGATGATCTCCCGTCAGAATTTCAAAGTCCTGGGAAAAAAATAAATGCAGGCAGCAAACAGGTTCACAAATCAATGTTTTCAAACCAGAAGAGACTCCTCATTCACCTACTCTCAACTCCACAAACAACTGAGGCTCAAAGGTCACTAAGTGAGCGAGTGACAGAGCTGGCCTTAGAACTGTTTCTCCCGACTCTTTAATCCAGTGTTTCTCAACGTTGGTTACACACTATTACCCGGGAAGTATCTAGAAATGCCAATGCTCAGGCTCCACTCTGGACCAAATAAATCAGAATGTCAAGGAGTAGAACTCCTACGTTCATATTTTTTAAAGTTTCCTCAAGTGATTCTAATGTATAATCAGGGTTGAGAATCACTGCTCTAATTAGTACTTTAAGATGATAATGGGCTTTAAGGCCCTATCCTGTTCAATCAATCTAAGAACAGAAATAATAATCCTGAAGCTTCAAGAATGGTACAAACCAGAGTCATTTCTAAAGGTATAATCTTAAATGACTGACTGCTCAGGCCCTGCACCGTGAAATGCCAGGACTGTCACCACTATTTTAAGGCCCGGCTCACCTATCTTCAGAAAGCTGGAGCTGAAATAAGAAAAAAGGTTAACCACCCTCAACTGGTTTTAAAAGAAAGGAGAAAATATACTATAAGACCACGAAAAAGAAGTTGACTATTGTCACGTCAACTTTCAATCCACAGAATTGCCTCATTTTCTTCCACCTTTGTGACTGTTCTTGATGTTCACTTTAACCTCGTTCACCAGTATAGAAATAGTGGGGGCAGCAAACTAGGTGATCTGCTGAAGCCTCTAAATGGGAAGGATGAACTGGCAAGAAGCACAGAAGTTGAGCACTAAAAAAGCCTGTTACATCAAAATCCATCGCTAACAAAGCAAACAAACTGTTACAAAAATCACCCTTTTATTTGACAGCTGCAAAAATAGCACAGACAGAAAAGCTGGGCCCTTTAAAGAGTCACTCTCCTCTTCTCCAAGTCCTCTGCTGCCAAATCCAGCTCTTAGGGTTCCCATCATTTACTTCTGAAAACAGTAAAGGACAAGCAGCACGGTTTCAGAAAATCTGAATTGTGAATAGCAGCAGGAGCTGAAGAATCAAAACAGGATATAACTGAAATTATTCCAACTCCAACAGCATACATTTAAAGAATATGCTCCAGTGGCAGTTCTGGTGGGTGTTACAGGAAGTAAAAGGAACACAGTCTATCCATTTTTTAAAATGTGGTATTTACCCAGCCATGATTCATCTGTAAGTCTCAAACCTTTATAAAAATCCCTGAATTAAAAAAAGGTTACCAGGACCCATTATAAGTGAAGGTTTGAAAAATCAGGTGAGTTTTAAAATTACATCTTTTTGTGTTATTATAGAAACATCTTGGTCATCAAAGCACACAAAATGTTAACAGAAGAAATAAATACATTTCAGAATGATAAGAGAGTAAGAAAAAAAGCTGAAAAATGAATGACAAGGGGCTAAAGGCTTTTGTACGCTATAAGCAGTAAAAACAGCAAGAAGTTGGGTGGAGCCAAGGAGGAGCACGGAGGCAAGGTATCTCATACATACTACAGCTTTATTAAATTCTTATCTTTCCCCCCTCCTTTTCCCCTGAATCAAATCTACCAAGCATTGCTAGCAGCTAGCAAGAGTTCTCAATCTCGGCTACACATCAGAAAATTCTGGGGAGCTTTTAAAAAACCCCCACGTCTAGGCCATATCCCACACCAAAGAAATCAGGATATCTGCAGGGGTAGGACTGGACATCACCTATTGTCTTTTACTTCACTGGGCAATTCCAATGTGCAGGCAAGGCTGAAAGCCATGGACTAGTAGCTAATGTAATTAAGCAACTCTCTATGGTGTTTTCTGTATTATAATAGAAGTTTACCCTTAAATAACTCCAAACGACAGAAATATGCTTGTGCTTTCTAGAAAATTTTCTGGTGCTCCAGGCCACTATGTGTGCCCTCCCATTTTCTTTTCCTTTTGAAATCATTTTAATCTTAAAGAAAAGTTGCAAAATTCCCCATCTGCTAACATTATGCCACATTTGCTTTATCATACTTTTTATATATTTATACATTTTTTTCTGATTCATTGAATAAGTAAACTGTAGACATCATGTCTCTTTAGCTCTAAATATGTCAGTGTATAACTTCTAAGAACAAGGAATTATGTTACATAACTATAATACAATGATGAAAATCAGGAAATTTAACATTGATATACTGTCATTATCTAATCTATAAACCTTATTCAAAGATCTTGATAAAGTCTTTTATAGTAATTTTACCCCCATCCTCCTTGGGCCAGGATCCAATGCAGGATCATGCATTACATTTACTGTCATGTCTCTTTAGTCTCCTTTAATCTGAAACAGCTGGTCAGCCTTTGTCTTTCATGAAAATGACAATTTTAAAAAGTACAGGCCAGTCATTTTATAGAACACCCTCAGCTGTCACGGGTGTACCTTCATGATTACACTGAGATTATGCCTTTTGACAGCCATAATTCAGAAATGATGGTATGAAATCATCATGTGTGGAAGGATAAGAAAATATCAAATTTCCATGCATTGCTTTGCATAATCATTTTTTGTTAAAAATTTTAAAAATCATATGTATTAATACATGCATAGAAAAGATTGAGGATACATACCGAGTTCCCCTCAGGAACAGGACTAGGGAGGGAGATAACTTTCATTTTTACTTTTTATTGCTGTATTGCTTTAGTAGTACTCCTTGTAATAAAATGTTTATTTCCAAGTAAAAAATAAAAGAATTTGGTGCAACCACTATGGAAAACAGTATGGAGGTTCCTTAAAAAACTAGAGTTACGGGCTTCCCTGGTGGCGCAGTGGTTGAGAGTCCGCCTGCCAATGCAGGGGACACAGGTTCGTGCCCCAGTCCGGGAAGATCCCACATGCCGCGGAGCGGCTGGGCCCGTGAGCCATGGCCGCTGAGCCTGCGCGTCCGGAGCATGTGCTCCGCAACAGGAGAGGCCACAACAGTGAGAGGCCGGCGTACCACAAAAAAAACAAAAAACTAGAGTTACCATATGATCCAACAAACCCACTCTTGGGTATATATCCAGAGAAAATTCTAATTCAAAAAGATACATGCACCCCAATGTTCACGGCAGCTCTATTTACAATAGTCAGGACATGGAAGCAACCTAAGTGTCCATCCACAGATGAATGGATAAAGAAGATATGGTTTATATATACTATGGAGTATTATTCAGCAATAAAAAAGAATGAAATACTGCCATTTTCAGGAACATGGATGGACCCAGAGATTACCATACTAAGTGAAGTAAGTCAGACAAAGAAAGACAAATATATGGTATCACTTATACGTGGAATCTAAAAAATGATACAAATGGACTTATTTACAAAACAGAAACACTCAGACACAGAAAATAAACTTATGGTTACCAAACAGGAGGGGAAGAAGGGATAAATCAGGACCTTGGGATTAGCAGATACAAACTAGTATATATTAAATAAACGACAAGGTCCTACTGTATAGCACAGGGAACTATATTCAATATCTTGTAATAATCTATAATGGGAAAGAATCTGAAAAAGAATATATATATGTATACATACACACACACACACACACACACACAACTGAATCACTTTGTTGTGCACCAGAAACGAACACAACATTGTAAACCAATTGCACTCAATTTTTTTAAAAGAGAAAATAAATGTGCTTCTTCCTTTTACCCTCCTCAGATCTATCAATCTTCAACGGATCAATCTTGGATCTCTTCCTTTCACTAAAACCTTCAAGTCAAAATGATGTGCACCACAGCCGTATCTTTAAAAACCCATACTTTAATAATTTACTCAATACACTTTTCTGTAGGATATCCCCAATGAGATGGTCCAAGACATACATGTCTGAAGAGGTCAGGAGCATTCTACTTGGAACAACCTTACACCACAACTTTTGAAGAATCTTCAAAAAAGGTTGCGATCAGGTTCTCATACTTACCTTTTTTATTGGTTGTGAAGTACTTGGAGTCAGTCATGGTTGTGGATCTTTAATGTGCACCTATAGCAAGAGAAAAGAATTCCTTTAACCAAGTTATTTATGTCCAGCAAGGCATTCAACTAATTTTAAGATCATTTATATACAAGAATTTCTGCACTCAGAAAGTATCTTCATCCTTACCACCATCACTGGTGATCCAAAGGGATGCAAGGATAATTAAGAATGTAATCCTTGCCTCAAAAGCTAACTGGAACAAAATCCAAAGGCCTAATGGAATAGAGTGATAATCTGAACCTATCATAGTTTTATGATTTTGTCCACAATTATCTCCTCAGAGCCTCCAAGACCTAAAGCTACATTTTTTTACAAATACATCTTCAGTTAGTCACTCCAATATTTAAAATAAGGAAAAGTTTGTTTCAAAAGATCTCCCCATTACTTTCCGTTAAAGCAAATCTGATTTACTTCCCTGCCTCAAGATGGAGTCACTCTAAGACATATATTCTGAAACAGAGTAAAACTGAAAGAGAAAAAATTTTTATCAACCTATTCACCATTACATGCAACTATCAATAAAAGGAATTTCTTTCAGAAAAAAAAGAAAAGCCTAGATTAGTAGGACAATACTCTTTCATGACAAACACCTAGAGAGGCAAACATCTTAGAGAGGTGTTATGCATGGATTTTCAAAAAAATTATGGTTTTCGTATTTCCAACAACCTACAATTCCCCCAAGTATTCCCCAAAATAAAAAATATCAGTTTACAGTTAAAAACAATGCAAAAAACTGAGATATTTGTTCAGTCACACTGAGTACTAAAGAGAATCAGAACTGGTGTTAACTTAAAAAGAACATGGATCCCAGCTTCAACTTTAACTTTTCTGTTCCAATTTCCAGAATTAATCCAGTTGACATAAGCCTCCACTGGTAAAACCAAAACAGCATGGACTGATCACATTTCTCCCCAAATAATGAGACAGTGTTTTCTGATTTGAGAAACCCTAAGATTTTGTCCAATGCACTTGACTTCTTTAAATACATTAAAATTTTCTTTTAATAAAGAAAAATGAGCACTCAAAAATGAGTATCTCAAAAATGAGTATCTTCTGGGATTTCCCTGGTGGCACAGTGGTTAAGACACTGCGCTCCCAAAGCAGGTGGCCCAGGTTCAATCCCTGGTCCAGGAACTAGATCCCACATGCGTGCCGCAACTAAGAGTCCGCATGACACAACTAAGGAGCCAGCGAGCCTCAACTAAGGAGCCCGCCTGCCACAACTAAGACCCAACACAACCAAATAAGTAAATTTTTAAAAAAATGATTATCTTCTTACTGACCACCATCATTAATAATACTTATCACCAAATTTTGGACAGATGCCCTGGCACCTACTCATTATTTTCTGGTCAAAACAACGTGAGTGATAATACATTTGGCAAACTTGAGTAATAATACCTCCACAAACAATGGTAATTATGGATCTGAGAAAAAAGACCTAAGCACTCAACAAATCAATGCAATTAAGGAAAAAGGCCAGAAAATCATAAAATAATGAAAAAAGGTTGGCTCAAATTTGTTCTCTAAAATGTACTACTTGGACTATTTAAGGGAAATTAGACTCATTTGTTATCTTTCCAAGGAGCTACTTAATGTTTATAGTACTGATCCTTATACAATAGTGCTTTTAGGTTGTACAAGAATTTCACTGAATTTACCTCGTTAAAAGAAGTGAGCTAGAACTCACACAAATCATTATAGAATACAGAAATTTCTGATTTGACACTATTTGTTACAACTTAAAGTGAGCCTGTAACAGAGGCTTGTCTTTTTTTTTTTTTAACATCTTTATTGGGGTATAATTGCTTTACAACGGTGTGTTAGTTTCTGCTTTATAACAAAGTGAATCAGTTATACATGTACATATGTTCCCATATCTCTCCCCTCTTGCATCTCCCTCCCTCCCACCCTCCCTATCCCACCCCTCCAGGCGGTCACAAAGCACCAAGCTGATATCCCTGTGCTATGCGGCTGCTTCCCACTAGCTATCTACCTTCAGAGGCTTGTCTTATGTAGTATTTTCATAATGTCTTTTCTAGCTGAAATTCAAAGAATTATAATCTTTTAATCCATTTAATCATTTAATCCATTCACAATGTAAACTAAATGTGAAGTAGGCAAACTGAAGAAAGGAGTCCTTCACATAAAAGACCTGGAATAGGGACTTCCCTGGTGGTGCAGTGGTTAAGAATCCACCTGCCAATGCAGGGGATGTGGGTTTGAGCCCTGGTCCAGGAAGATTCCACATGCCACGGAGCAATTAAGCCCGTGTGCCACAACTACTGAGCCCACATGCCACAACTACTGAGCCCACATGCCATAACTACTGAAGCCCACAAGCCTAGAGCCCGTGCTCCGCAACAAGAGAAGCCACCGCAATGAGAAGCCCATACACACCGCAACTAGAGAAAGCCCACACACAACAATGAAGACCCAACACAGCCATAAATTAAATAATTTTTAAAAAAAGACCTGGAATAAATTTGAAGTTATCATCTAAGAACTTATATATACAAAGAGGAAAACCAGTATACAGAAATGATTACAGTACTAGAGCCTGACAGGAGGCCCATAGCTCAAGGCCATTATGGTCTGTCCAGGATGTCGTTAAGCCACTCTAGTCCTTTGGGATCATCAAAAGTTAAAACTTGCTTAACATTTAAAGACAAAAGCTGCTTGGAATTTCTGTTTCTTTGAAAAAGGGCCCCAAAATCGTTCTGTTTTCTAAAGCTCTCATACACATTCACATATATTAAATTTTTAACAGAAAATTTCAGCACAATCTGTTAAACATTAAATTAACCTAGTCTTAAATCGTACCTTTATTAGTGACCCACACATTTCATTACTTCCCCTAACAAATTTCATCATCGAGGAATAGATTTCTGTCCTTTTACATTGTGAGCACTAAGTTCTTAACTAGAGAATAATGTACCAGCCCACAAAATTTCAGGGAAGAGGAGAGAATCAAGTACATGATCTTAGACCCTAAATTAAGAACCCCCGCTTTTAAAGAGAAAGGAGAAACACACCACTCTCTTATCTCGCACTGTCCTACACAACAGTAATGAAATATCCCTTACACATATTGGCAGAGCAACATTTTATCATGTCAGTTCCTGACTTAAGCCAAAAGAAACTCCCCCAAAATAAAAATAAACCAGCCTAAACAAAAACAAGTGAGAAGAGGCGGGGTTGCACAACACTGTGAATGTACCAAATGCCACCAAATTCTAAAATGGTTAATTTTATGTTATGTGAATTTCACCTCAAAAAATTGCATATGTATGTATTTTTTGGCTGCGTTGAGTCTTCGTTGCTGCACGTGGGCTTTCTCCAGTTGTGGCGAGCAGGGGCTACTCTTCGTTGCTGTGCGCGGGCTTCATTAGTTGCAGGACGCAGGCTCAGCAGTTGCAGCACATGGGCCCCAAAGCGCGTGGGTTTCAGCAGCTGCAACGCGTGGGGTCAGTAGTTGTGACGCACGGGCTTAGATGCTCCGTGGCATGTGGAATCTTCCCAGACCAGGGATCAAACCCCATGTCCCCTGCATTGGCAGGTGGATTCTTAACCACTGCACCACCAGGGAAGTCCCTGTATGTATTTTTAAATGAGACAGTTTTTTGTTTGTTTTTTTTTTAATGAGACACTCTTGATCACACACCAGAGACGAATATGGTCAGATTCTCTAAAACACAGGATGGTGAAAACTGTTGTCTGGGGCTTCCCTGGTGGCGCAGTGGTTGAGAGTCCACCTGCCGATGCAGGGGACACGGGTTCGTGCCCCGGTCTGGGAGGATCCCACATGCCGCGGAGCGGCTGGGCCCGTGAGCCACGGCCGCTGATCCTGCGCGTCCGGACCCTGTGCTCCGCAACAGGAGAGGCCACAACAGTGAGAGGTCCGTGTACCACAAAAAAACAAAAAACAAAAAAAAAACTGTTGTCTGCTTTAGAAGCCAAAGAAAAAGCAGCCAAGATAGAGTTCAAAGAATAAGTCAAGTATTTGCTGAAGAGCCTCAAAAATCAAGTTCCTTCTGGGAGCGGGGGGAATTTATTCCTCAGGATAGTCCCACGGCAAAGCCAAGCCATCATGGAGCTGGAAGTCACACTACCTTTTTACCAGATCAAACTAGAGAAGTCACTGGCTGTTCTGAGGACCTGAGGTATGACCTCAGAACATTGTTAAAAAAAAAAATAACAATGCTGCCACAGTCAAAAGCACAATCACTCTAACTTTCCTAGCCCANTATGTTATGTGAATTTCACCTCAAAAAATTGCATATGTATGCATTTTCTGGCTGCGTTGAGTCTTCGTTGCTGCACGTGGGCTTTCTCCAGTTGTGGCGAGCGGGGGCTACTCTGCGTTGCTGTGCGTGGGCTTCATTAGTTGCAGGATGCAGGCTCAGCAGTTGCAGCACATGGGCCCCAGAGCACGTGGGCTTCAACAGCTGCAACGCGTGGGGTCAGTAGTTGTGGCACACGGGCTTAGTTTCTCCGTGGCGTGTGGAATCTTCCCAGACCAGGGATCAAACCCCATGTCCCCTGCATTGGCAGGCAGATTCTTAACCACTGCACCACCAGGGAAGTGTCCGTATATATTTTTAAATGAGACACTGTTTTTTTGTTTTTGTTGTTGTTGTTGTTGTTTTAATGAGACACTCTTAATCACACACCAGAGACGAATATGGTCAGATTCTCTAAAACATAGGATGGTGAAAACTGTTGTCTGGGGCTTCCCTGGTGGCGCAGTGGTTGAGAGTCCGCCTGCCGATGCAGGCGACACGGGTTCGTGCCCCGGTCCGGGAAGATCCCACATGCCGCGGAGCGGCTGGGCCCGTGAGCCATGGCCGCTGAGACTGCGCATCCGGAGCCTGTGCTCCGCAACGGGAGAGGCCACAACAGTGAGAGGTCCGTGTACCGCCAAAAAAAAGAACAAAAAAAACTGTTGTCTGCTTTAGAAGCCAAAGAAAAAGCAGCCAAGATAGAGTTCAAAGAATAAGTCAAGT